AGGTGGTTTAAGACACTGGAGCAATTAAGGTCTTTAAGGGTGTCGATGATCCTAAAATACGATTTAGAGACTCCGGTCACCTTAGAGTCTAATGTTCTATGACCATTTAGTCAAACTGCATTTCATTAAATCAATTAAACATAACAGGCAAGGTATGTTACTCCCCCTTTGTAAAGGAGGAAATTAAAGGTTATCTTTACTTACTTTTCACCATGCTTAGCTGCATATGTGCAGACCTGTATGAAAGAGCAATTACAGTTATATAAAGTCTGCTGGGCTGAAGAGCTAATTAAAACTATTGTTGAGAAGAAACACGTCAGCTGAATGAGCTCTTGCTTTTTGAATAATAGATTATAATTTTATACTATTATTCATTTGCTCTTTCTAGTGCTTTATACCTTAATTTTCAGAAGATATTTGTCTGTGTGTATGTTTTAGTGTGTGCTGCTGTATTGAAAGAAGCAAAAGTGAATTGCTGAAGGTGGTACAACGTGCACATCACAGAGCTTTTGCGGCAAGTTCCTCAACCACAGCTGTTGGTGGGAATTTTGGCACCAGCTTCAGTTGGGCTGAAATTTCATCCTGGACTTTTGGAATGGATTTAGCTTTTCCCCTGAAGTTTCACAGACACAAAGTTGGTGTTCAGATGATCATCTGCTGCTGTTTGTAAAAGGTTTCAGATAAGCCAGAGCTTATATTACACAATAATCAGCTAATCCATATTAGGTTTCTGTGGTAGCTATAATAAATCAGGATATGAAATATGCTGAAGATTCCTACATCTCATTAACTGATAATTTCATCCATAGTAGACTAGCCTTGTTCTCTGTCTTGAGGAGAAGACAATGTCTCTTCTGTGGTTTCACTTTAATCTGAACACAGAAAAGGAGTTTGAGGAGAGGTTATACAACCCGGGTAGTGTTTTCGGATAGCCCCCTCTCCCTGGCCAGACGAGGAGCTTTAGCTGTGCTCTATGTGTTAAGAGCTATATTTATCATGCAGGAATTGTGGGCATGTGAATTTATGCTCTGACCAAAACAGTATGTCAGTCAACATGTTTCTGTGGTATGATGCACATGCTTGTGATTTTTCTATTATTTATGCATATATTTCTATTCCTGTCCTTTGAACAAATAAATAACCAGCCTTGAAAAGAAGTACTTGGTATTTCAAGAGTGAGGTTCTCTCAGGGTGTCTTTTTATTAGCGAAATTACTTACATTAGCAAATCAGTGGAAGAAGTGGCAATGTGAACCAGCATATTAAATTTCACTATAGCAATCTGTATTCCAGAAGGAAATCCTGGGAACCAATCACTGACAATAAGACCTCCATTTAAATTACAAAACAGGCGGTATGCTGAATGCATATAGAGCATGCAAGAGATTAAATAGAAGGGTTCACTTGTCTTCTTAAGGTAACTGAGACAATAAAAATGTGCTCTACAAGTAAGGACTGTAGAAGGTCTGGTAATGAAAACAATAATTAATATAATTTAAGCTACTATCCCTGGGGCAGTTGTAAATTGATGGTATTAAATATGCAACAAACCTGTTTGTAAATTGATGACATAGGAAGTCGTGGAAGTCATGCAGACTGTTTCTCCTTCTGAAGCTATTTGGCAATGTGTTATGCAGGAGCCTATAGTCCCCCAATGGATATTCAAAGGTTATTTATATTAAACTCTATAATTTATATTCTTCAAAGAACTAAGTAACATGAAAGGATACAATTAAAAACCAATCAATTATTTCATTGTGCATAAGGCTGATTATATAATCTAAACCAGAATTCATTAGTATTAACTTGCATAGACATTGCATATGGTATTTTTCTGCCACCATGACTCTATTGATTCAAATGAATTACAGCAGCAGGGAATGCGTGGCATTGAATTCCTTCTGCTGTTACTGTTGGGTCTAGAGAAAAGATGACAATCTGCAAGTAAGTTTCACATTTATATTTACATATAATTTAATTTTAAGGTTATTTTGCTATTATTCAACTCTACATGTCAGGGTAGCTTTTAATAAGTGTAATTTAATGCTGAAAATCCACCCTATTAATTTCTTTCAGTTCTTCAAGGATAGAAACATCAGCCAGAGAGATACAGTAAATGAGATGAGTATATGAAAAAAGGTTTAAAAACCCTTTCCATACCTTAAGAAGAGTATGTAATGAATGGTTCGTCCTGCTTCACACTGTCCAATTAATTTTGAAATTTTTAAATGTCTCAGTATTTTTACATATTTTTGAAATCTGTAAAATGAAAACAACCACTAAAAGATATTTTTAAACAAGAGCTTTTTTTCTCTTTTTTTTTTCCCCAGTGGAAACATTTGAGTTTTCTGACCACTCTTGTGATATTTGCTCATTGTCTAGGTTTCTGTGATGCAGCCTAGATTGCATGACCAGTTTTACCTGCTTAAATTTCCTGTTTCCCAGTCACTTTGAGTGAAACTAAATGGCCTGCATTCTTCCACACTGCCTCACACAGTATCTGACAACTTAGAGATTTCTGAAATGCAGTAATGCTATTTGTTGGATTATACTTTCTAAACTTGAGGAAAAATAAAATACCCTAGTGGAATATTAATAATACCATGCTTTAATGGCATCTTCTACTTGAAAGAATATTCTAGCTTGCACTTCTTTACATGTGTTTTCCAATCTTAGTTTTAGCTTGCAAGTGATTTTGATGGTTATTTCCACAACGCATTTAGGTCAAATGCAACAAGATTTTCTTCATGTATTCTTTAAGTTTTCTGCCAAAGCAATAGAATTGGAAGTGCAGGGTAAGACATGGTACAAAAGTAGGTGCTGGCAAGATCTACCCATTACTATGCAACGTTCTGGAGCTTCATAACCTGGCTCATTGTGTTTCCTTGTTACATATAGGCAGATAAACTACTGTGAGGTTAGCAGTGCTGGCGCGTTTGATTGGAATTTTCTATGTTTGTTTGTGTGGCGTCTTCCTATTTGCACACTTTTTCTTTCTTTCTTCCTTTCTCTTTTATAAGGAATATTTTGTTTTCTGACACAAGAATACTCACTCATACAAAACAACTGATGTCAGGTTTCCAACAAGAGCATGACGAGAGAGTGAGGTAGAAGTGGAAAATGCTAGTTATATCAGGAGCAAGGACTAAGTATTTAATGTGCCAGCTATTAATAATTTAAAATTACATTGCAGCCTCAGGAAGAGCAATGGTCAGACTCAGGCACCTTGGCTGCTGAGAGAACAGAGCTATGGTGTTTCTCTCTCACACAAAATAACACCCAGAGATCCTGGCGTGGTGGAACAGTTGGTAGCCACCCTTTTGCTATTGATTCAGGCCATGTGTTGTGTGCTTCAGTGCTTGGCCATTTGTGTGGAGAGGGGGAAAATAGGAGACCATCTTGTCCCTGCACCTTTGTAGTCCACACCTCTAACTGGGTAGCAAGTCTGGAGAGTTAATGTAACCTACTCGTGTGAGTTTGTGAATCTAAAGGCCCAATTTCAGATGAGAGATGTCTGCCATTTATTCAGATTTTTCACTTTCTAACATCAAAACATCTTTTTAATTCAGAATTAGAGGTGGACACATGGAAATTTACTCTGGGTGTGGCTGAGAAAGCAGAGTTCTCCTAGGTTATAGGGAAAACAGCAATTGGCAGTGTTTCTATAAATAACCTGCCTCTGTTTTGCTCAAGCCCTCCAGGAGACCACTGTCAGTGGAAGTAACTAATATTTGTTTAGATTTTTAAAAACTGGAAATCCCTGTCTATTGTTTTTAGTGTTCCAGGCAGAAGAAGAGAGTCTCATGAATGTATTCCATAATCCCACTCTGTTCTGTAATTGCTATTTACTTACGGATGCAAAGTACAAAGAAGAATAATGAGAACCATAGCTTTCCAATTTGTTTCACTATAAACAAGTAAGAAAAAAAAAAGTCAAAGCAATGGTCCTGTTTTTTTTCTATGATTCAATAGAGTTCAAGGTTCTGCATATTAGAGTTCGCTGAAAACATAATTAACTGCCATAAGCTTTGAATCAGATGATACAACAAGGGAAAATCTATACATTACATAGTTTTGTATCAGAAAGAAGGATCTTCTACAGCAAAAAGTAGTGGGAAAGTCAGCATATCATGTTCAGTGGTTTGGAATGTGGTTCCCTCTACCTACCTTGCCAAGGCCTTTGGAATTCCTCTCCCTGATATCTGGCCAAGCAGCTGGGAGTTTTACCATGATGTGGGCTTCTTTTTCCTATCCAGTTTTTCCTGTGAAGGAGATGGAAATGATGGGAAAGCACTGTCAAAAAACTGAATGTTTAGGTGAAATTGCCTTTTCTTAGTCTCTTTTCTGTCCAGTACATTCAGGCCCTATGTACACAGTCCTAGTAAGAATGCAAGTTGGGGAGGGAGAAATGAGAAGAAAGACACAGAATTATTTGTTTTATGTGGCTAAATGGTCCAAAGAAAATGGGAAAAAATCCATTCCTTGAATCAGAATCATCCCAGATGTTGTTCAGAATTAGCTACATTTGCATTAGAAAATGTAAACATGTTTTGCTTTCTTTTTGCAGAGCAAAGGTTCTTCAAATTTTTTAGAAGTTGTTAAGCAAATACTCTAGGGGCTATATTATGTGCAGATACAGTGGTATAATTACATGGCTGTTTTGCTAAAGTGGAGTTAAACAAAGATAATAATCTTGAAATGAATTGAATATGATTTTCTGTTTCTAGTATGGAAAATGGAAGGAATATCAAATTATTGAACAAATTTTCCTGTCTGCTGTGCCACACAATTAGAATATATAGGATGATGATGGGTGTAATCACAACAATTTTCTGTCCCTTAAAGAAGACCTTAATATACAATGACCTGTTAAAAAAACAGTGACCAGTATAGTTAATAATAGACTTGTAAGTTATGTAGATGAAGTAATTGGTGTTATTTCAACTCTGACAGAATTTTTTTTTTTTTGAAATAAATTTGAACTAATTGTGTGTGTTGTAGGTCACTTCTCAAGAATCTGGAACCAAACCATTGACCTTCACATTTGTGCCATCCATTGGAAGACTTCCAACTCATTTTGAGGTTGCAGACATCTCTAAGTTCCTTGTGGTAATTCCAGATGAACCAAAGGATCTGACCAATCAAGAATTTATAAATAAGGTAGATTTTTGTTTGTGCTAATTTCTCCACTCATTCAAAAGGTACAGAAAATTTTGTCCTGAGCATCACTAAACTGAAGCTCTTTCACTTGAACTTTTTGGCTTGTGTTTCTTTTTAATTACCCAGCCTACCAGAGATCAGAGTCATTGCGAAAGAGAAGGTCGCTATGTGCTCAACAGCCTGTTTTGCCTTTGGCAGAGTTTATATTGGAAGGAAATCTTTTCACATCTCAATACTGTCCTCTGTCAGTCATGCAAGGGCTATATTCTTGGAATATGAAGGGGGATTCCTTCCTGAACTTCACAGGAGCAAGGGTGGTGTGTGAGGAGTGTTATCACATGGGAATCGACCAAGAGTTGGTCACTGGATCCTGGTTTCAGCAAATGCCAGTGGTGTGGCTTCCAGCAAAGTTGTCAATCCCTTTCATAGCTGGGTAGTAATGCATCAAAGTGAAAGCTTGCTTTTTGCTTTTGAAAGCTTGTCCCCATGATTTCCCATGATGCTGAAGCCAGCAGCACAGCACTCCCCATTCTCCTGCCTTTAGCCAGCCCTTAGTGTTTGTTATTCCTTTATTGTGTCATAATGCTTAGCAGCCTCTTATTTTATTCCATGCTGCTTGAGAGGAAACTGGAACCCTCAGATTAATGTTAATGCTTATGGTGATTCTTCCCTTGTGTAAGAGCTCCTTCCTTAGGACATTGCTGGGCCTGCAGTTCTTGGTAATAATTAACTTTTCTCAGCAGTTCACAGTCCTCTGACCTGAATAAGCTCCAGCATCTCCAGTGGCCTGTCTGACTGAAAAAGTGGTTGGTCTGGGCAGAGAATGGACATGTTTGAAGATATATGCACTGGAATATTATCCTTGGGATGTTTAACCCATCCAGCCACTCGATACTGGCTTTGTTGTGAATAGTGCTCTGGGTAAGGCAGAATCAGGTATTCCTGACCTCTGCCTCCCTGTGTTTCTCTGTAGATGGAGAGAACTTTCCTGGCAGATGATGCAGTACTGAGCACTGCAGTACTATAGCACTGGTTACTCTCTTTTCTAAAATGTCTAGAACCTGAACAGTATTTTAAAAGACTCCAACAACTGCAGATAATGAAAATAACGCCTCCAAAGTCATACTTGTGGTATCCCCCCCTATGGTCCAAATTTTTTTTTTTTTTATTTTTTAAGAGCTGACCTCCAGGGGCTTGTGGAGCTGCCAGTGGAAATTGATCAATTACTGTATTCCTCAAGCAGGTTGCAAATATGAGCCCCATCTACAGGCTTTCTCTTGCAGTACACACTATTTCTGTTCTTTTACCAGATTCCTCCTTCAAGAGAAATATAATTTACCATAGCAGTTTCATTATTGAATGATTTGGTGGTATGCATTTCATATGCCCAGCTTGCACTACTCCTCCCCTCACCCAAAGTGTGTTTGAGAAGTTACAAGCTGGAAGTGAAAATTGCAGAAAATATGAAGAATATTGTTGTCTGTGCTAAGAAGCTTGAACATACAGTGAAGCTCTCTGACCTCAGATTCTTTGTCTGCTCTCCTCAGAGAATGCCCTGGCTTAAAGGCCTTTGTTTCTTCATTAATATGTATAGGTTTTGTCCCAGATTTGTCTGTCAGACTCGTCTGATGAGCATTGTCCGCTCCCATGGATCCCGCAGTGGGGATGTCTTCCCACCGTGTCTGGCATAGTCTGGTCTGACAGCTCATTCGGCTTGACTGCACACTACTTCTCGATTCCCGCGCAGTCCCGGTCTCGGGCTATTGTGGTGCTGAGTCCCCTCTTGCTCTGCAAGTCACCGGAAAGGTAGCCCCTGTGGCATCGGCTTGGGGACTGGAGGCGGGGGGCTCCCTGATGACCTGCTTTCTGCTGGGTGCTCATGCCCAAATTCTTCATTTGCCGTCTGCTCAGTGCCAGCCACCACTGCAAACAAAAATTACTTCACATTTTGGGGAACACAAATAAAATGCAGCTAATTGGGATCTTTTTCCTTATATTTTTTGCAGTCTAATGCAGTCTCTGACAATCTGGCCTTAAAGAGCGAAGCCAGGCAAGGCTGTGTGTCTGACATCTGTACAGACAGCACCCAAACGGCTTTCCAGTCCCCAGGGGGTAACTCAAGAAAAGGAGCAATGCAGGAGAATGACCTTTTTAAGGCTGAGTTTATCCTGATTACGGACTCCGGTGATGAAGATGAAGTAGCTGCTGCCTCGAACATTCATCGACCTTCCAATGGCTACGGTCCCATCAGTGCTCAGCTGCTGGCTACATCCCACCTTTCTCCTGGCACTGGAGCAGGGAAACCTCCTGGTGATGAACACGTTCCAGGTGCTGCACTTTCCCACAGCACTGCTGATCCACAAAACCATCAGGTAAATCTCTTTAAAATCTAGAGCTAACATGGGCTTTCTAAAACTTTCAGGACATGGACACTGAGTCAGTTTGTAAAGCAGCTTGGCCAACTTCTTTAATTGGAATTTTTGTTGTCCGTTTCTGTAATGTTTGGACTCTAAGGAGTTGTCCCAACCCTTCTGACTTGCTGCCTCTCCCTATGGCTCAGGTGTATAAATGGAGCAGGTAATGCAGGTCTATTGTTCTTTCCTTTAAGGGCGGATCATCATGAGAGCAAGTTCATCAGAGGGTGTTAGATTCCTAATGAGTCTAAGTTGGCTAAGGTTATTGAAATCAATAGACCTTGTAGATGATTTGAATTATTAGCATCAGACTTCTCAGGCCTATTTTTTTCTCAGCCCCTGCTGCAGACCTTTATGCTAGAGAAAGAAGCTGTAAAATCATACTACTCTGATTGTTAGTTAGCATCGACATTGCACAGGTGTAATGAACTAACGAAGATGGAAGGCCGATTTTATGTTGACCTCTATAAGACACACTTATTGATTTAGTGAAATTTTAAACAGGCAATGGGAGATTTCAAAAAAGGGTCTTTGAAATGTTCTATTTTCAAAACATGTCAATGCAATATACTGCATGAAAAGTTAATACTCACCTGGGAAAGAGCACTGATATTTTTAAAGGATGTATATGCAGTGGAAAACTCTAACTTTAGTAAAATAGCAACATTCTTCTCACATGAAATAAATGCAGACATTTCCTTTGACCTCAACAGTGTTTCCATCACTTGAAAATGCCATTCTTCATTGATAATTTAAAAAGAAGTTGACCATGGCTACTTTGTCTCTGAAAATGAATAGGACTTCCTATCTTGTGTTGAAATACTTGTGCTACTCAATTTTTCATCAAATTCAGTGTCAATTTTTGATTGAGGAAACTGTGAATAAGAAATCCAATCTGGTTAAGGATTTACAGCATTATGAAATATTAATTTCTTCTGAGAAACTCCCAGTGAAGTCAGTGAGAATATTACCTGAAGAAGGTGTAAAGGCATAGATAAATCTATGTGGAGAAAGCATTTTAAAAAAGAGTAATTGTCCTAGGGAAATACAAATTTACTTCAGCAATGTTCAGTATGCAGATTCTGCCAGGCTGACTTGGGTGGTTTCTTTAAAAGCTATTACAAAAGTTAAGTGGAGTTTTTGTAAGACCATGCAGAAAAATTCATATGCAGTAGCTTTCCTAAGCTTTTGATGACTTTAAGAGATTTGCCTGTTAAAGTAACAGAAAATACAGATTGCACAGAACGAGGAATTAAATTCTGAATTTACTAAGTATTCACCTGTGTGTGAAGAGAGATAGTATGTAGTAATTCATATCTCATAATTATTAAGTCACAGTTTTTCAAGACTGTAAGTACTTCCTCAGTCTCCATTTTCTAAATAACTCTAGCTGTTTCTACCTCTTCATAACCAGAAGGTTTTTTACTAAGTTGTTTTTCACTGATGTTCTGATTCTTCTTCGGTGTTTCCTTGGGCATCACTCTTTCTGGCTTACTGTCTAATGAAGTATCATCAGTTCAGAAATGAAAAAAATTGCAGAATGATTAAAATTGCATTTTTATCTGTTGGTAGATTTCCTATATACAGAGGATTCCATATAAGAGCTACCTTGTCAGTTCTAGGATTATAATGACAGTATCATGTCTCACTTAAGAGTTATTACATATAACATTATGTTCATTTAAAAGCATAATTAGACTATGGGTTTCCTGGCAGAGATGTCAAAAAAAAAAAAAAGAACCAGCACTGGGGACTGTTGTGTTGTACAGACGATCACTCTAACTGAACAAGATGGCCCCTACAGCTTCATTAATTTCTGATTAAAAAAAAATGGAAGATTCTATTGTTCTTTGAGACGTAAATGTCCTGAACTGATGTTGGAAAATGCTATGCCATACACAGAGTCTGAAAAAAAAAAATGTTTTAAAAATAAAATCAATCACTCTGGTCTTCTGGTCATATTTGGAATGTTTTGGTGACAGTTTACTGACTGTATATTGTGCCTTTTTTTCTTTTATGTTAAAGAGAGTTTACTTATGTGCGAGAGAGGCAGATTGACTCCTGCCCTTTGGGGTGAGGGGAACTGTACCTGGTCCCATGAATGCCAGAACACTAACTCAGCTTGGAAAAACTTGTCTCACTGAGGGGGATCAATAGCCAGAAGGCTTGGCATTCCTCTGTCCAGTGCGTGTAATCTGGTTTGGTTTTTCCAGACAAGTCAGTCCAGAATCCCTGCAAAATCCTGGCATCTCAAGGAAGGATGCACATCCCTTGTTGGGAGAAACTGGATGTTCTGAATGGCACTTCTATTAATTGGGCCTCAGCTTGTGGGCTGATTTACTGTGCTGTTTCCAGAGATTTTGTCAAGTTTCAGGTTGCAGGATGTGGTAGGGAATTTGCTTTATGTTTTCCTATCTATAATAAAATTCTACAGAGATCAAAGTATGGTTAACTGGCCAGGTCTGCATCAAGTCAAATTCTCTCTCAGATATTATTTTTGCCTTTTGGGCTTTCCATTTGTTGCACTCTTAAAAATTTCTCAGGGCTTTGCTGAGTAAGTAACCACACCTTCTGTGCCCTTCCAAAACAATGTGATGTCACCAAAAAGACCACTTGCCTTGTGTCCAGTTCATCTCTTCCATTTCAAATGTGCTGAAAGTCAACTGGGCAAGGGTCAATACCTCCATGCTATTTCTGGGATCATTGTCTATGAGTCAACAAGATCTTTTTCAAGATCCTTGATCCCTTTGTGCCAAGTTAACCTTGCCACCTATTTCAACTTGACATGCCCTTGGGAAATGTGTATCTGAGGTCCTCCTGAGAAGAGAAAAAATTGCTTGCACTTGGATCAGAGTCCATATGAACATAATTCTACTTTTGTCATTCACCTCCTCTGCACTAATCTAGTACAACTACAGAAATGTTTTAGGCCAGTAGAGAAACTGAACAGATTAAAAAAAAGGAAAACCAAATCCCATTGATTGACGGAAGTTGTTATATCTCACCTACTGGCACTGGTGGGGCTGCACCTGTAAAACCATGTTCAGTTTGGTGACCCGTCATCCCCCCAATTCAAGAGAGATGTGAAGAAGGCAATGGGCGTCTAGCACAAAGCTATAAAGGTGGCCAGGAGCTGGGCAGCTGGTGGAGCTGCCCACAAAGAGGCAGCCAAGGAGGCATCCAAGAACAGCCCACAACCACTCAAAGGGCAGTTACAGAGATGACAGAGCCAAAGTCTTCAGTGTCAGGCAAGAGAGCAAGGGCCACAAATTGAAGTGTGGGGTGTCCCAGCTGCACATCTGGAGAAACTTCCACATTGGGAGGGGGTGCAGCACTGACACAGGCTGCCTGGGGTGCTGGAGCTGCCTGCATTTGAGGCTTTAGAGACTTGGTGAGACGACCACAGCTGACCTGACCTGGTGGGGTTGGTGGTAGCCCTGCTTCAGGTAGGAGGCTGGGCTAGATAGCTTGGAGAAGTCACTTCCAACCAACTTTGATATGAATCCTATAAATAAGATGGTGATAATCTATAGATGGGGTTAACACTGTAATACAATAGCAAAATCTTTTCAGAAGACTTGAATAATGGCTCAATTAGATCAGGATATGAACGTTCAGTGGTCAAACTGGAAAAAGACTACAGCAAAATGTCTTTATCGTGCTTGCAGGAGTGTATGTATCATCTATTACCATGAACATTTTCCTAGCTGCTTATAAATCTTTCTTATTAAGCTTTAACTAATTAGAAGTCATTGCACATCCTGCTCTTTCATCATGGAGTTTCATATTAATTCCTCATTTTCTTTTAATCTGTTGTCTTTGTAAGGGAAATTTATCTATTCTGTGTTGAAATACAGAAATTTTATTCCCCAGTTATGTTTTGGTAGTTGATCAACTTCCAGAACTTATTATTAAATTCATCAGGCTGCTCCAAATTATCAAATGTATTATTGCACTGCTTTTTGTTAAATATTTTCTGCTTCAAGACATATTTAATAACAATTTTTCCTAATGCTTAAATATTGGTAAATCTTTTGTCAGTTTCCAGTATTTTTTCTAATTCTTAATTAGCAACTTTTGCAATGAGAGTCAAAATTTCTTAATCCATTAGAATATATGGTATAATAGTATAATGGACATTCTTTTTTATATTCTAATGCTTGCACTGTATGTATCTATTGGCTTTCCACTTTGAAATGGGACACCTTAACACACGTACAAAAATAAGGGGATGTTAGTGTGGTTGGTGTTTATTTCTATAAATCAAGGCATTGCCTTTGCTTTTCTAAAGGTATCTTATACAGAAAGATCTTCAGTTTACAAGGCTTCCTATTTGTTTGATACCATTTAGCAGGAAGACCTCACTTGTTTTAAATTATATGGACTAATAGGGTTCTGGTGTGCATATTTAGCCCATATTTAACATTTTAGGTATAGTCTAGCCTTTTAAAGACTGTAAATCTTGCTCTCCTGTCACAGCTTCTTACAACACATGCTCTCACTTGAAAATTATATATTTTGTACTTAATTTGTTTTGTGACGTATCAATATTATATGATATAATAATAATAATAATTATTATTGCTCTCTCTTATGGGGAAGATACTTGTATTAAAAAGTAGAATTCGTAAGCTGAGCCAAAGCAGTATGCAAGTAATGTATGTGGACATTGGATATTATACTTCTCTTTTATAAAATTACTTAATATTTTCAGGGTGTCGGACAGTAGATAAATAGGCATTCTTATATTTATATAAAGTTTGTAGCGATTAGAGTCTATTTCTCTGCTTTCCAATTGGTCAGTCAAAAGTTAGGTGATAATTTGTAGCCTTTTGGTTTTACAGTTGACTTAGCTCACTATTTCATACTGATATGTTTTATTCATATTGTGTATACCCCAGTTTTTAATTTCAGTATTATAATAACTTGGAAGATTTTGAGAGAATTTATTTCTTTAG